AACTACTAGGTGAAGCACCACATGCACAAAGATAGAGCTCTGCAGGGCTACAACACTATAAGTCAAATCAGTGATAGCTGCCTATAATTCACATAGCGCTATCTGTATATTTACAGGGCAGCAGTTCTGACAACATTAAAAATCTGACCATGAGTAGTGAACATTAACTCAGACATTTATTCTTAATTGTACATGATGTCATTGGCACATTCACAGGTTAAACCGGCAACAACTTGGTCTGGAGACCAATGAACATCACCTCATTTCAAATCTGCTGCCACATGTGAACTTGTCTCAGTTCGTGCTCTCCTCAGCGGTCAACAAACATGGTCAGACAGCATTAGAGGAGCAGGAAAGTCAACATTTCGGGCTGAAACTCTTCGTCAGGACTTGGGAGGCGGAAGGGAGCCAAGTAGTAAATAGGGTTGGGCAAGGGGGACTGGGGAAAGGTAGGTGGGATGGTGATAGGTGGATGCAGGTAAAGGGTTATAGTGATTGGTCAGTGGGAATGGTGGAGCGGATAGGTGAGTAGGAAGATGGAAAGGTTAGGTCAGATCAGAGAGGCGGAAAATGGGATAAGGCTGGGGGTTGAAGGAATTTTGAAGCTGGTGAAGTAATATTCAGGTGCTTGGGCTGTAAGTTCCCAAGGTGAAATATCAGGTGTTGTTCCTCCAGTTTACGTTTGGCCTCACTCTGACAGTGGAGGACACCAAGAATGGACATGTCTCCAGGAGAGTGGGAGGGGGAATTAAAATGGATGGTGAACAGAAAGTCGGGTTGATTGATGTGTGCAGAGTGCAGATGCTCCATGAACAGGTCCCCTAGTCTGCTTTTGGTGTCCCCGACCCGATATAGAGGAAACCACATCGAGTGCAACGGATGTAATAAAACAGGTTGGATGAAGTGCAGGTGAATCTCTGCTGGATGTGGAAGGGTTGTTTGCGGCACTGGATGGACGTCAGAGGAGAGTTGTGGGGCAGGTGTTGCACCTCTTGCTGTTGCAGGGAAAGGTACTGGATGTGGAGGAGAGGTTGGTGGGGAGTGTAGTGCTGACAAGAGAGTTGTGAAGTGAACAGTCCCTGCGGAAAGCACACGTGTGGGGAAGGAAAAATCTTTCTGGCAGTGGGGTCTGATTGTAGGTGGTAGAAATGTCGGAGGATGATGTGTTAGATTCGGAGGTTGGTGGGGTGGTATGTGAGGACTAGGGGGACTCCATTCCTATTGTTGTTGGTGGGGGAAGTTTGAGGGCAGAAATGGGGGAGGTACAGTTGAGGGCGCATTAATTAGAGGAGGGGAAATTACAATCAGTAAAGTAGGAGTCGTCTGGGATGTCTTGGAATAGAACGCTTCATCCTGGGAGCAGACGCAGCGGAGGCAGAGGAATTAAGAGTATAGGATAGCATTTTTGCAGGAGGGCTGGTGAGAGGAGGTGCAGTCGAGGTAGTTGTGGGAGTCAGTGTGTTTGAAATGGATGTCAGTGGTGAGTCAGTTTCCGGAGTTGGAGACGGAGAGGTCCAGGAAGGGTCCAGCTGAATTTGAGGGCGTGGTGGAAGGTGTTAGCGAAGTTGACAAACCACTTGAGCTCCTCGCAGGAGCATGAGGCAGCAGCGATACAGTCATTGATATAACAGAAAAAGTGGTATTGGACGGTACCAGCCTGGTTGTGGAAGAGGGACTGTTCCACAAATTCATGCCCTCAAATTCTCCTGAACTATTTCTGACACCTCCCTCCTTTTCCTGGACCTCTCTGTCTCCATCTCCAGAAACTGACTCACCACTGACATCAATTTCAAACACACTGACTCCCACAGCTACCTCAAATACACCTTCTTTCACCGACCCTCCTTCAAAAAATGCTATCCTATACTCTCAATTCCTCCATTGCATCTGTTCCCGGGATGAGGCGTTACACTTCAGGGCATCCCAGATATCCTCCTACTTTAGCGACCATAGTTTCCCCTCCTCTGTAATTAAGGGTGCCCTCAACCACATTACCCCCATTTCTCACACTTCTGCCCTCAAACCCCCTCCCCCCAACTATAAGGATAGAGTCCACCTAGTCCTCACATACCACACATCAACTTCCAAATGCAACACATCATCCTCTGACATTTCCACCACCTACAATCAAACCCCACCACAGAAAGATATTTCCTTCCCCACACATCCGCTTTCCGCAGGGATTGTTCACTTCACAACTCCCTTGTCAGCTCTACACTCCCCATCACACCCAGTAACTTTCCCTGCAACAGCAAGAGGTGCAACACCTGCCCCACAACTCTCCTCTGATCTCCGTCCAATGCCCCAAACATTCCTTCCAGATCTGGCAGAGATTCACTTGCACCTCATCCGACCTGATTTATTGCATCCGCTACTCCCAATGTGGTCTCCTCTATACTGGATCAGGCAGACCAAACACAGAGTAGGGGACCGGTTCACAGAGCATCTGTGCTCTACGCGCATCAACCAACCCGACCTTCCGGTTGCCATCCATTTTAATTACTCCTCCCACTCCCCTGGCAACGTGTCCATCCTTGGCCTCCTCCACTGTCAGAGTGAGGCCAAACAAACTGGAGGAACACCACCTGATATTTCACCTTGGGTGCTTACAGCATTTGAGCCTGAATATTGACTTCACCAGCTTCAAAATCCCTCCACCCCAGCCTTATGTCATGTTCCGCCTCCCTGACCTGACCTAACCTTTCCATCTTCCTACTCACCTATCTGCTCCACCCTTTCCACTGACCAATCACTACAACCCCTTACCTGCATCTACCTATCACTATCCCAACCTACCTTTTGCCAGCTCCCCTCCTCAACACTACTTATTTCTGAGCTCCCTTCCCCCTCCTCAGTCCTGACGAAGGGTTTCAGCCCGAAATGTTGACTTTCCTGCTCCTCTGATGCTGTTTCACCTGCTGTGTTTATCCAGCTCCGTGTTTAATGACTCTGACTTCCAGCATCTGCAGTCCTTACTGTGTCCTCTCCTCAGCAGTATCTACTAACCCCTGCACTGGTTCCCAGGCTTCCAACTTCTCAAGTTTAAAACAATCTGCCTTGATGTTAAAATTTACTCACGGTCATCCACTTTACATTTCTGTAACCTCTTCCTAAAATTTCACCCCCATTCTCAAACTCTCCAGACCTTTCACTTCTTAGGCCTCCCACTCCTCCAAATTCAACTTCCACCCCAACATTACTGTGGTTTTAACTGCTTAAAATTCATTCCCTAATCTGTTTTACTTTTCCTCTCAAAGCATTCAAGGCTCTGTAAGCATCAGCCAAGTAAGATAGCTGGGGCTTAAGAACATTAACATAAATGTCCTGGCTGACATTACAGTGCAATGCTGTGAGAGACAGTTTTTTGACCAAGATCCCACCTGTTTTTAATCAGGTGAATACAGAAGATCCCCTGGCACTAATTCAAAGAGGAACAGGGAGTCCTCCCCTGGTGCTCTGGCCAATATTTATCCCTCAGGATACCTGCAAATTGACTGCCGACATTCCTACACTGCAACAGTTACTGCATTACAAAATGTTTCATTGGATACAAAGAACTTTAAGATGACCTGAGGTCGTGAAAGGAGCTATTTATATACAAGATTTTCCTTCTTATTGCTGAAAAAAGACATTTTCTTGAAGCTTTTAGTCTTAAACTCAACAGAAAAATTCACAGGAATACCAACTCTATGGGAAAATCAACTTATACTGCACTTATACAGGGAGAATACATTGATGTTATTGCAGCAAATTACTCCTTCTGAAATCCGGCGCAGACAATTTAGCCATGCCAAACCCCAAACGTCTCCCTGTAGCCTTGCACATTCTCCCTTCAGCGATCCCTTTCCACTCCCTCTTAAAACACTTGATTGGACCTGCCTCCACCACAACCTCAGGCAGTGTATTCCAGATTGTCCCTGTATCAACCACCAAACTAATCCTGAATACAAACCAAAAGAATTGCAGGTGCTATAAATCAGGAACAAAAACAGAAGTTGCTGGAAAAGCTCAGCAGGTCTGGCAGCATCTGTGGAGAAAAAAATCAGAGTTAATATTTCGGGTCCTGAGTTCTGAGGAAGAGTCATTAGACTCAAAACTTTAACTCTGATTTTTTCTCCACAGATGCTGCCAGACCTGCTGAGCTTTTCCAGCAACTTCTGTTTTTGTATCAAACTAATCCTACCGGGAAGTGGTGATGCAGCATAATGTTACTTGGTGAGTAATCCAAAACCCCAGTCTATATACTTTGGGGACACGGGTTTGAATCCCAGCATGGCAGATGGCTAAATTTGAATACAATAAAAATTTGGAATTAAACACTAGGCTGACAACAACCATTTAACACTGTCAATCGTTTTAAAAACCTATTTGGTTCACTAACCTCCTTTAGGGAAGGAGATCTACTGCCCTTACTTGTGACTCCAGAGCCACACAATGTGGTTGACTCTTAACTGCCCTCTGGGCAATTAGAGATTGGCAATAAATGCTGGCCTAGCCAGTGACACTCTCATCCCACAAACAAATAAACTCTCTCTACCCTTGAATCAATCCCAAATTAATCCCATTGCACCACTCTCTCCAATAGCCCACATCAAACCACAACGTGATACCAATGTTTTGTTCTCTTTCCACAACCCTGAATCAATCCCAAACTAAACTCACTGCCCTGTTCTCTTCCCACAGCCCTGCATCAATCCGAAACTAATCCCACTGCTGTGTTCTTTCCCCACAGCCCTGTATCAAACTAATCCTACTACCCTGCATCAATCCCAAACTAATCTCACTGTGCCACACTCTCCCCACAGCCCTGTCTCAATTCCAGACTAGTCCCACTCATGCAGAGAGATAAATTTTAATGGGATATAACATATAGCACAGACTTGTTAAAGGTCTTTTCCAATTCAGTTTGTCAGCCAACATTCTATTTATTCGCACGTTTTCACAAATCACACTGTGATCATTCAGGTGGCACTGGTGCAGTGAGTCAGTGCTTGTCATACCTGTTGCTACTCTTTATGAAGTCTCTGACATCATCAGGTAGAATGACCCGATGCTCTCCCATGTCACGGTGGTTCCCAAGCACACAGACTGGAATGTGGTCTGGCACTTTTGGGAGCTCCTTCATGATATAACTGAACGTCCTGCAAAAGCAAAGGAGGAAACTAATCAACAACTTTCTCCCTACTGACTAAGCTAGTCCATTCACATATTAGAGCAGTTATTACATTGCTGGTCTGGTAATCCAGAGACAGCAAGCCCAAATCTGGAAATTAAATAAAAAGTCACATTTGTAAAAAACGATGGTGAAGAATGTGGATTATCAAAGCCAACTGCTTAAAGTGGCAACAAGGATGGCAAAGTCACATTTTCCAATCACTATGCAATGAAGTAAGGCTCCACAGATAGGAAGGTCTTAGAAAACTATCCCTACACTAACCAAAACTGAAGGAACACTTAAAATAAATTACATGAAGTATTCATCCTTAATGATGAGGCTGTGGACTTTCTACACATTAAAACATCACAAGAATCCAATCTTGTCAAATATAACATGATCAAAAGCAAATCACCCAGGGTTCTGGCAGAGACAGAAGTGGAATTATCAATGCACAATTTCAGGGAATGTTCAGATCTGGATCACCAAATCACCCTTAACCTCAAGGACCGTGTTCTCGAGGGAGTGAGGGAGTAGAGGTGGTGGGTTCCACACAGAGTTGGGCGAGGGGGGCAGGTGAAGGGTGTGAATTCTGGGTGACGGGGGTTGTGGGAGAGGTGAAGGCTGCACATGCAGTGTATCTGCAGTCACAGTACTGTGATCAGACAGGAGCAAGGTGGCCTATAAACTGATTGTTAGGTTGTTTAAGGACGACTCTCTAAGTACTGCTTCCACATACGCCACAACATCAAAACAGGGCTCTGCACAAGGTTATTTTCAGCAGTCAAATTTAATATAGCACATTTGGTTTAAATTCATTAAGTCTTGGAACATCTGAGAGTGTCAAATCTGGAGCAATGAGTTTTACATTCACAGACTCACACTGGACGGACACCTATTGTGAACGCTGAGATATGCTTACCACTGCTTGGTGATGTCAAACATCATGATAACACCATTACAGTTCTTGTAGACATCGAGGAACTCTGCATCCAGAGCCAGCTCTGCATCCGACTACCAAAAGAATATAACGAGGAGGATTAGAAAACAATTATCGATATTGTGGAACACAGTGAGTCAATCTTGCATTCAAAGTAAAGCTATATCCTTAGTCAGTTAGGCCCAATTTACAAGGAGTAACTATTCTGTTCTGGGCACCATTGCTCCTTCCGGAGGCACTGGCCATGCAGGGGCTGGAGCACAAATCTACCGGAGAAATACTGGCGCCAAAAAGTCAAAATTGTGATGTATTGCATACTGGTAGTTGTATTTATTAAGTAAAGCAAATTGAAGTATGTTATAATTAAAGAATTTTACAGAAAGCTATTTTCTCAGAGGCAGCATCCTGAACCAAAATTCACACACTTGAAATTCAAGGCAGGCAATTTAGGAATGATAAAAACTGAAAGAACTGCAGATGCTGTAAATCAGAAATAAAAACAGAAATTGCCGGTAAATCTCAGCAGGTGTGGCAGCATGCGTGCTGCCGAACTCTGAAATGTTAACTGATTTCTCTCTACAGATGCTGCCAGGTCTGCTGAGCTTTTCCAGCAATTTGTGTTTTCATTTGGGGTGGCACGGTGGCTAAGTGGTTAGCACTGCTGCCTCACAGCGCCAGGGGCCTGGGTTCGATTCCAGCCTTGGGTGACTGAGGCATTTGCACATTCTCCCAGTGTCTGCGTGGGTTTCCTCCCACAGTCCAAAGATGTGTAGGCTAGGTGGATTGGTCATACTAAATTGCCCATAGTGTTCAGGGATGTGTAGATTAGGTGGGTTATAAGATTGCTCTACCATTCAATGAGATCATGGCTAATTCTCATTTTTAAACAGCGACCCTCGTTCTAGATTATTGCACACAAGAGAGAATATCCTCTCCAGATCCACCCTGTCCAGTATAGATAGATTCACGATCAATATTCACAGAATGTAAGGCTGTATCAAAGGTCATTCCTTTGAGGTCTTTTCTAATCAACCTGTTCGGAGATGTTTTTACACATCTCTGAAGCAAGTGGGACTTGAACCCAAGAGCCCCTAGTTCATCTCTTGGCTGGGCCAGCATTTATTGCCCATCCCTACTTGCACTGTAGGAGGTGGTGGTGGTGGTGAGCTGCCCGCTTGAATAGCTACAGTCTTTTGTGTGTGGATAACCCATAATGCTGTTAGGGAGGGAGTCCCAGGATTTGTAACCTAACCACACTGAAGCAGTGATGATATATTCCCAGGTTAGGATGAAGAGAGGCTCATAGGGAAACTTACAGGTGATGTCTGCTGCCCTTGTCCTTCTAGATCGTAAAGATCATAGATTTGGAAGGCGCTGTCAAGGGGTCTTCAATGAGTTGCTGTACTGCATCTTTGTAGATGGCATACAGTGCTGTCACCATGCTTCAGTGGTAAAAGGAATGAATCCTGAAAGTGGTGAATGGAATGCCAATCAACTGGGCTGCTTTGCCCCAGTGTCAAGATGTGAGTGTTGTTGGAGCTGCATCATCTAGACAAAATGAATTTGCCTTGCTTGTAGGAACAGCAGAAAAATTAATAGTGTGTTCAAAATAAGGGACAAAGATGGTTATTCTGCCATCCATCCAGTCTGAGCCAAAGTTTAATGGAGTACAAAATGTTGCAGAATTTTGCCATCACCACTGAATGCAGGAATCAGTTTTAGACAGATTTTTAATCAGCAATGGAATCAAGGGTTATGGGGAAAGGATATGAATGGGGTGTTGGGGATTATCAGGTCAGCCGTGATCTCACTGAGTGGCTGAGCAGACTCAAGGGGTTGCATGGCCTACTTCTTCTCTAATGGTCAAATTTTAGGGTTGATCAGTCTGTGATGATGATTACGATCCTGGTATTAAACACAATTTTTGCATTTTACTACTTTGATCCTTACTTCAATTGCAACACAGAACCAAAAATTGATTACAACACAGAAGGTCATTCAGCCTGTTGTGTCTGCACTGAGCCTCTAAATTCACTTCAAGCCACTCTTCCAGTCTTCTCCCCTTAAACCAAAAATAATCTCCCTAACAAATACCATTCCAATTCTCATTTGAATGTATCGACTGACTATGCCTCAGACATTGCCTTCCAGATTCCACTGTGCGAACATTTCTCATGTCATCATTGCCTATTTTGCCAATTAGTTTAAATCTTGCCCTCTAATTTTTGATCTTTTCACCAATGGGAATAGCTTCTCTCTATCCAGTGCCTTTTCAGATCCCTCATGATTGAGCAACTCAACAAATCTCCTCTTGATTTTCTCTTATCCAAGAAACATAGCTCTAGCTTCTTCAATTGATCCATGTAACTGAAGCTCCTCATCTTTCGAATTGTTTGCATGGATCTTCTCCTCGTTCTCTCCAGTGCCTCACTTTCTTCCTGTTTTGCTCAATATTTCAAGCAATTTGGTTTATGTGCTCAGAGTTTAACTTTAGCAGGATTTTTGGCTGCTAATATTGCACTCAACAACCTTTTGTTATACCTCAAAATTTTGCTCTGAACTGAAGATTTTAAACTTAAAAACATTTTTTAGGAGAACTGATAAGGTCTCGATGTTTCTAGCAGCATACTCTGCTCATCATTGGAGGAATGACTGGAGCAGGAGAAAGTAGTGGTTGCATAGAGAGCAAAACCATGATGATGCAAATGTCTCTGACCTGAAACTCTGGTTGTCAGCTACTCCTATCAACAGGATAGCAAATTCAATCGAATCAGGCCAGAGATAAGCTGGAATTCCACACCAACAAACCTGGGCTAGCACAAGCTCTATAGGCTCACCACGTGACTACCAGTCAAATCGGAGTTAGGCTGTCCAAGGGCATAAAATCATGGACAACTGGGTAAACCATGATTTGACATTGCAATTTCCCTGTGAGAGGATTACAAAGCTTGCAATTACAGCAAAACATTTGGGTAAATGCTAAATTGTTGCTGATTGGAGTAAGGAACCTGTCACTGCTGAGGTCTGTCATGTCATTTGGCATTTTTGCCCGTTTGTAGGCAAATCAGGTTACATAGGGCCTGCCTCATGGATCTTGAAACTCTACTTAATGCAAATTTATGGTGGATCCCTTGGGTTTCAACCTACAGGAAATTTACTGTTGTGAAGGATGTGAATATGGGCAGGACCCTACTACACTACAGTTTTTGTAATAGGTCAGTACATACTAATATTCTTGCTGCTAACCTACTGACTGTGCAAACTAGATGGCAGTGAGTTACTTAGGTAAGTGTAGTCAGATCTAACAGATGCAGAGGCCACTATCTTGAGATAGTGTAGTGTTTGAATTTCTCTATATCATCCTCGAGGTATCTTATATACCAGTGTGTGATGACGGAGTCTAGAGTTGGACCACTAGATGTGGTCATTAAATATGAGGAGTAGAAAACCCTCATCTGTTTTAAATTTATTTTCAAACACTGACCCCTACTTCTAGATCCTCCTCAAAGAGGAAATATCCACCATGTCAATGCCTCTCAGAATCTTGAGATCTGGAGTCAGCTTCCCAGACACTATTTCATGCGAGATGGAACCAATGTATATTCGACCAGTGGACAAAGTCCAACACAAATCACCTAAAAAGCTCCATGCCATCCTTCACAACAATAAGAAACTAATCTTACAATAAACCAGCAATTTACAGCATACTATGTGACTGTGGACTCATTCACATTGGTGAAACAGATATAGTCCACATACTAGATCCAAAAACTTCAGTATATTTGAAGGTCTGAATAGGAACAAGTCCATATCAAACACAAACTATTCAATAACCACCATATTCAATGGTCCAAGTCTAGGTTTATTTATCAGTGACATATGGTGACATACATCAGCAAATGCATTACCAAAGGTCATCTTGCATTCATGAGGACAATTTTCAAAAGCACCAAAAAGAGGAAAACCAACATTTACAGTGTGAGATGAGAGTACAGAAGTTAGCAGGTGAACTCTGATACAGGTGTTACCATGGTAAAAGTGCAGCAGTTGATGACAATTAATTGCCAGGCTTTCTTTAGATATTCAACCACACTTGGTGAATAAACCTGAACATGCAAAGAAATTAGACTGTCAACCCCAATGCAGGATTCAGTTGGACTCTCAGTGTGGTTTAGTTGGGTATACTGGAACCCACGTATATTAATACACGCATTCTGAAAGAACATCTGGACACATTGAGCCTGTTCCAGTTCGTAATAGATGACAGACATTTGCTCATTCATTTCTCAGGGCAATGCCTGACCAGTCAACTGCCTGGTTTAAAATTTAAACAAATCATTAACTGCTGCATTCTCCACAGTAACACTTCTGCCAGAGTCTACTTGCTAACAAATTAGCACTCTCTTCTCATCCAGTATAAATGCTGATTTTCCCCTTTATTGATATTCTTGTGAATTGTCTAGAGAAGTGCATAATGAAGAGTTACAAAACGTTCTTACAGCAACACACAAGTTCAATCTTATCAAACAATTATTTGCATTACCATAGTCAACCAATCAGCAGCAAGAATGTCAATGCCTATCAACCTATTACAGACACAAGAACCTGACCAGCAGTAAGAGGCTACCAAATATTCCGTCCTCCACAACACCTAATCCCTCTTTTACCTGTACCAGTCACTCTTTCAGATAATGGGTAGACAATACTGCCCAAAAAGTCAAGACCTACCAGTCTTCCTTCAGATTGTTGTTTTAAGTAAAAATTGCTCTTTTTAGAGCAAAATCTTCCATGGTATAATGGGAACATCGCTTAACTCCACGCCATCATTCTCATCATGGAAATCTTCACATCTCTTTTGAAATTATGACACCTTCCATGCAGTCAGATGGACTAAATTCAGCTTCTAATTCCTGCTGCACAACATTAATGCCACCACTCTTTTCCTGATGTGTGGTAACAAACCGATGCAGACGCAAGTAATCCTAAGGTTTCAGCCGCAGTAGGCAAGGCCCTTAGTAATTCTTCCCTTACCTTCTGAATACACAGAACAAGGGACTGCACTGAAACACCTCTC